CTTTTAAAGCTTAATGTTACCCAGAGCTTCTGCAACATCCGCAGTCGGACCAGTTATTCCCAGGAAGTTATAAGTACAACGGGAAGTTTTCTCTTTGATGATGTTCTTCCAACTAACTGTAAGAGAATACGCTGCTGCTCCTTCTGATACATCCATCCATCCATCCATCTTCTGAACCCGCTTTGTCCACGTAGGGTCGCGGGGGGGGGGGGGGGGGGGGGGGGGGGGGGGCAACACAGAGACACACAGGACAAACAATCATGCACGCACACACCTAAGGACAATTTAGACAGACCAGTCAACCTAACAGTCGTGTTTTTGGACTCTGGGAGGAAGCCGGAGTACCCGGAGAGAACCCACGCATGCACAGGGAGAACATGCAAACTCCATGCAGAAAGATCCCAGGCTCGGAAGCGAACCCAGGACCTTCTTGCTACAAGGCAACAGCTCTAACCACTAGGGATGAGCCGGATACTCGTTTCAGACGAGTATTTGGTACGGATAAAGCATTCTTGACGAATACGAGCATGAAACGAGTAAACCTCGTAAATATCTGTAATCGTGCTGAAGGAAAATCCTCATTGGGTAAATGACTGTCTTCACGCTCTGTGATTGGCCAGTCACATAGAGCGCCCGTCCCTCCCTACACACAAAACTCTCTAGCCGGCCGGGAGCGCAGTCCGTCCGACTCATCCTCGCACACAGACAGACAGTAACGGATCTCGCTGTGATTGCTTCACTGTTGCTCACGTTTCTTCAGTTTTCCCTAGGTTTTCTTCAGCTCGCCTCTTTTTCGGTTGAATATTTAAAGTTACTTTTTCGTAATTTACATGGTGCATTTGACAAGACAGAGCTGACGTGCTGCATCAGTCACTCACTACCTCTGCTCCGGTCGGGTTTTTTATTTTTTTAACTCCATCTCTCTCCCTCTCACCCTCTCTATCTCTCTCTCTCACACACACACACACCTTAATCAACATTGTTTTGTTTAACTTTGTGTGGGGCAAAATGCTAAGAACGTTAAGAAAAAAATCAGTTTAATCGAATTTAAATAAAAAAATACATAAAGTTGTGTCTGGTTCTAGCATTTCATATTTCCTAGTTCCTACTGCATGAGTTCAGATGTATTAATCCATGCACTTAAATATTAATGTTCTGATTTTACTGAAACACTTGTTCAGTAATAGTTTCTTTACTATTGTGATCAAAAATATTTAATCTCAATTCTGAGGCTGCTCTGTAAATAGTTTTCAAATAAACAATACACATAGCAACTTCTGATCAATCCATATCAATTTCAGACTTAAAATAATATATTGATGTAAACCACACCCACTTCCGGTTAAACCACGCCCACTTCCGGGTTATGCCATGCCCATTCCGAGTACAGATACAGATAACTTAGTTGGTTGAACAGATACGGATAGTGGTGTACTCGCTCATCCCTACTAACCACTGCGCAGCCCCTTCTGATACAGTTAGGCTTAGTTCGAACATTTATTACCCAGTTTTTACTTTACCTAGACTGATTTCACCTGGACATGACGACTGCTGAGACAACCCAAAAAGGCAGCAGGTGATTGGAATCAGCCAAAAAAAAAAATCAGCATCAACGTTTTATCTGTGATTGGCTGATCTGAAGCTCAAAAGATCTCATTTTTGTTTGTGAACAAGCCATTTACCATCAGCAATGATAAATAATGTTGAAATTGAAAGAAAAATTGTATCTGGTAATTATAGACTGGAGTTGACCAAAACCAGTTGGTAGGTCAGGCTTTTTCTCTAGATCTAATAGGATTTTAAAGCTTTTTAAGTCTAACATGTTTACAGGTTTGTTTGAAATTGTAAACGAAAAACACCAATAAAGTTATTTTGAAAGCAAAAAAACAAAACAAAAACAAAAAGGTTAAGTATGAAAAACGTTCTTAAATTATGAGCACCAGTGGTGCGGTTTCTCCTCAGTTCACTTTGTTTTGCTAACCTTTTCAAACATGAGTAACTGCAGCTATCAGATGTCCATTAAATAGTTCCACTGTAGGGACTGCTTCCTGTGGTTGCTTCAGATTTCATTCACACTGCTCATAAACAGCACTGCAGGTTAGTTTGAGGGGAAAAACAAGCATTGCTGTGTGGTGAAACGGAATACTCTCACCTTGAAAATAAGCCACGCTAAAGCAGATGATGCTAAAAGCTCAGTCACCCGGGCAACCAGATCCATTTTACGGGTTGTGTGGTTTTTACCATCTTGTATTTGTGCGTAGAAACGTTCCTAAACATGACAACAGCATCTAGTGGTAGAACGGGGTAGAACGGGGTAATCACAATAAGATCTCAGTCATCCACGAGTGTTCCTCATCCAGAAATGATTTTTATCCAATAACTAGTTATGTCTGTGGAGAAACGGCTTCATCACATAACTGGTGCTAGAACTTAGGGATGCAACGATACCACTTTTTTCCAAACGGATACGATACAGATACTTGGATCTGAGTACTCGCCGATACCGATTACCAATACCGATACTTCTACCACACAAAAAAATGCAATGATTTGGAATACAGATTTTATTTTCTTCTCTGCTTTCAACAGGAAAAGACTGTAAGGTAGATAAAAAGTAAAACATATGGATAGAAATCATCACAAAACTAAAATATTAGGTGAACAGAAATGACAAGTTACAGTGAAGCCATTTTCAAGCAACTGCATTGGTATCGGTTCCTGGTATCAGTTAACTTTTACAGATACCGATACTGATATCGGTGCCGATACCAGTATCGTATCGTGCATCCCTACTAGAACCTATAAGACACCTGTGGCCGACTGGTGTGGTGTGACCAAATATGGTTAATTGTATGTAAATGAACGGATACAAGTACGTGAGTAAGCACACGTGGGATTTATCAACAGTGGACTGTGGAGGAACGTGTACGAGTGGCCACCGCATTTTTCATGAATCGGGATTTGGGCGGTTCGTACAAACCTTCTAAATTTCAGTTTCTACCAACGTTTGATAAATGAGGGCCCATGTGTGCTCAAATAATCAGCAGAGCTCCATCGTTCATTTATGATTGTTTTACTTTCGCAGAAGCAAAGTCAGTAACTTGTAAGTGAATGTAACCTTAAAGAGATAAATCCTCGTGAAATGCTCTGAATGCACAGAAAAGCTCGGATACTGCTCGCATCATATTTTGGGAGATCTTTTCTTGGCTGCCATGAAGCAAACATAAACCCAGACTGTATTCGTAAAAATGAAAAAGAAAACCAGGCAGCTTGGAAGCAGATTAGAGCTAGCATGTATGTGTTGACGTTATGTTGTTTCATTCTGACAGAGGCTAGATGACAGCATCCGTCAGCGACAGATATGATCTTTGGTCCAGCAGCAGGAATACAGACGACCCAACGTGAAAACTCAACAGCTAAGCTTCTCATGTCCAGACTGATGTACCTGGTGGCTTCTGACAATTTTATTTTAACAACTATTACAGCCATACAACAAATTTATCTTAGCGTTGCTCAAAGAAGGAAAATTCCCTTCTGATTTTCATAGTCTTACTACAATCATAATTTGAGAAATAACTGTTGTAATCAGGGTGGATTCACCCTAAAATACAGAAATAAAAGGAGCTGAAAGTTTCAGCAGTTTCAAAATCCGCCACTAGATGGCAGCGTGGAGCTGCTTTGTCAGATGTTCAGCTGTTAAGAAGGCGGCAGATGGTAAAGCTAATAAAGGAAGTACCAGACCTCAATACAAATGGTGTTTGCAATTTCCTTTTTTATTTTGTCTGCCAACTGTAAAAAGCGAAGGATCGTTTTGTGGATAAACATTTTATTTTGGAGCGACGGTGGCACAGGAGTTAAGATTACGGAAGGTTGCAGGTTCGAGCCCCGCTCAGTCTGTCGCTGTCATTGTGTCCTTGGGCAAGACACTTAACCCACGTTGCCTGCTGGTGGTGGTCGGAGGGACCGGTGGCGCCAGTGCTCGGCAGCCTCGCCTCTGTCAGTGCGCCCCAGGGCAGCTGTGGCTACATCGTAGCTCATCACCACCAGTGTGTGAATGGGTGAATGACTGGTTGTGTTGTAAAGCGCCTTGAGGGGTTCCAGGACTCTAGAAGGCGCTATATCAAATACAGGCCCTTTACCATTTTCAACATGTGCCATGCTAAGCTAGCGATTAGCCGAATGCTAATGCTATGGGGCAGCAGTAGCTCAGGTGGTAGAGCGGGTTGACTCATGATCGGAGGGTCATGGGTTTGATTCCAGCTCCCGCCAGGGGTATCCTGCTGCTGTGTCCTTGGGCAAGACACTTCACCCAACTTGCCTGTGTTAGTGGTGGTCAGAGGGGCCGACGTCGCCAAATGGCAGCCTCACCTCTGTCAGACCTCCCCAGGGCAGCTGTGGCTACAAGTAGCTTACCATCACTAGCAGTGTGTGAATGTGAGAGTGTGTGAAAGCGTCTTTGGGTGTCTAGAAAAGCGCTATATAAGTTCAATGAGTGCATTATTATTATTAATAATAATGTATTGTCTGTTTTGTGTATTTTTGATGTTTAAAACCATTCAGAGAAAATTGTTGAGAATGAAAATGGTGGTTTATTTGTAACTTTTATTGTGAACTGAATATTTAATTTAGGCTTTATTTATAAAATAGCAGCTGTTACGTTACAGCTAGCATGCTCCAAGCATGAATGTGAATTTACTGTGGTTAAAATCAAAAGTTATTGCGAGTAGTGACCGACCATTGAGAAGTTCTGATGGGATAAATTTGGGTTCATATCAGAGAAGAAGTTGCTTAATACGTAGTTTAGGACTTTGTCAGATACTGTGGCTAGCTGTGGTGGTCATTTTAAATCAGACCGACACCAAATGCTTATTGGTTCTGATTTGTTCCTGAAACTGGATGAAAAACACGATACAGAAACTCAGCTGAGGTCCGAACTTGTTTAGTAGTCACATGATTTAAAGCTTATAAGGAAAAACCTGCAAAGGATTCTATCGGGTCACCTTAGTGTCATTGAGCTGGGCCAATCCCGTACAAGCGTTCGCCAACAGGAAGTCTCCACTCAGGACCGCCATCTTATTCCCAAACTCCATGTCCTTCATCGGGCCGTCAGAAACCGTCCACTCCTTCAGATTTACTATCCCACGATGCACCAGGAACGCTGTGTGGATCAGCTCCGTGATTTCCGCCAGGTTTCTCTGACTGAAAAAAAGAAAGAATAAATTACAGAAAACATAGTTTTCTTTTCAAATTTGAAAGATGAGTTCAGGGATTTATTAGACTGAAGTTTCTTTTGTAAGTTTAAATAAAAAAAACTACGAGAAAACCCATTTATTACATCTTGCTTTTCATTTGATGAATGAGAAACAATTTAAAATCAACAAGTTTAATAAAAATAAACCACGGGCAAAGTCCTCCGAGGGCATAAAACCAACAGAAATGTCAGCTATCTCACCCCACAGAGTGTCAGGGGTTGCATTAAAAAAGAAATTAAGCCTATCATTAACAGCCGTTCTTGATTATGAGCAGTAAAAGAAAGATGTTGGTATTTGAATGGAGTCTTTCAGAGCAGCCTGAAGGGAGGATATAATCAAATGTTGATTCAGTCATCGGTGGGGGATAATTAGGACTCTCTCCATATGGAAGGAGCTCGCCACGCGGCGACAGGAGGGATCACCCAGACAGGGTCGGCTGCACTGATAGCCACTTACCACCTTCTTTCAGCCGCTGTGAAAACCTGATGAGCCGCTCGTCTGCCACCGGCTCCTGCCTGTATACACACTCACACACGCGCAGCCAGGTAATTGCCATTCTCCGCGTCGGCCACGAAAAGATGTGATTAAAACTCAATAATGTCATCTATTTTGCCTCTCAATCACATCCATTGTCTGCTGGGTTCTGCTGCTCGGTGACTCACAGCAACAGCACCGTCACCCCGAATGGGAGTTAATAAGTTCAGGGCTCAAATAAGAGCAAATTAACAGATTGACAGCCGCGCGTTCCCTCATGCACCTCGGAGCGATCGCCACGCTTCAAGAGGAGAATGAACCGTTACAGCGAGAGGAACAAAACATCGTGATTTTGGGTCGTAGAAGTTAGAGATTCTAATGTTAAATGAGGATTTCCACAGATTTTGATGGTGACCAAATGTTACGATTCAGCACTGTAGAAAAACACTGGTATCTACAGTCAAACAGGCATTTTAGCTAAATGACCCTTAAACTGGTGCTAGAACAGTGATAAATAAACCCGGTCAGATATTCCTCACTAATCGGGACTCAGTCATTACATCCCAAGCTGAAACACAAACTGTGCATTTATTATTATTATTATTTCAGTTAACACATCTAACAGGAGGAGTTTTCCACGATTTACAGATCTGTGATAGTAAAGTCCCCTGAACTTTACGTGTTTGAGCTTCACACCGATTGCTCAGCTCCAGAAATGACTGATCTTCAACTTGGCCTGATGATGGAGATCTGGAACTAATGGACCTTGTTTTATTTGGTTACGGTTCATGAAAGTGTTGTGAAGCTGAAACGGCGTTTCTCAATAAACCACGAATGATCCGATTCACGAACCAAATGGTTCGCCCCTAATGTTGATGAGGCGCAATACAAGTTAGAGTCAACACAATGAGAATTAATGTATGAAAGCAAAGGAATATTTCTGTTAGTTTAATAAAAACATGAGCGATGTATAGGATCTGGGTTGGAGGGACAATATTAGTTTCTGATTGTTATCGAGTCAGGATCTGCTGATGGTCAGACAATTAAACACAACCTTTTTATCAACTTCAAATGAAAAAACCTTCAGGAAGTAAAAGCGTGCACAAGGAAAACATGTTATTGCTCGCAGAATATAATGCTTCACACGGGCGATTTAACAGACTAGGATTTTTTTTCACGTATGTCACGTGATAGTGGTGCATTCAAGGATCAAAATGAAGATCAGGCTTTTTAGTTTCCGACTGCCCTGTCACTGATAAACACGCCCATGCTGAATATTTGGTGCAACTATTCAAGAACTGTAAACCTCCTCCAGAGGTTGTACTTTTTTAAACCACCGGTAAAACTTGCAGTTTTCCTCCTAAACAGTAGGTGTCACTAACAAGACATCAACACTGCCAAAGAGCAGGAACGGCACCAGAAGAAGGGTTGTCCTGGAGGTAACACAAGTAAATGTTTTCCACTTTTCTGCTATTATTTAAAAGTTGATGCTTTATAAATGAACCTTCTTGAAGATATTTCACCCAATTACTAAACAGATCTGATTTAATAAGAGGTGAAAAAAATATGTATTCTTGAGGCCTGGAACAGATTTTAAATCCCTGAAGAGTTCTGACATGTTGATATGTTCATTAACAGAATATTTCTTTATGATCAACCTGAATATTTTAATTTACGAAGCAAATATTTTACAAGCAACATTTGTTTTTCTTAGCATGAATGAGTGCTCAGCTATTTTCAGTTCACAGACAGCGAAAAATGCAATAAAAATAAATATTAATTATCAAAACAAACAAGATTTTTCATTTTAAAGTGACAGTGTGTATTTTTCCTGGAAGTAGGGGAAAGTAAATACCTAACTTGTTGCAAGCAAGCTGTATTTTTGTGTTGGCCTTGCAACAGATGCCCGTTAGGGTCAAAAAGCCCTGGGGAGTGCAAACTTCAGCAAAATAACAAGCGCATTAGACTCCCTTTCATCACTGGCAACAAGTGAAGAGGTAAATATGTAAAGCAACGTTTATGAATGATGAACGTTTTGTAACCGTTTGTTACAAATCAGTAAATTTATTTTGTCCTCAAAGGCTCCTGTAGAAGGAAACATGGCATCTAAGATGGCGTTGCCCAGAGACTCAGACCCGCTCCCATGTCCGTGGGGGGTGGGTTGGTTTGAGCCCTTAAGCCTGATTCATGCTTCTCCGTCTGCGTCAGTGCGGAAACACCCAAAGTCCTTGCGGACCTGCCGGAGAGCTCCGCAAGGACGGACGGAGTCGAGCTCTCTTTTCTAAACATCCGTCAGTCGAGACGGACAACGCAAGCTTGTGATTAGTCAGGACACCGCTGTTGTCTACAGCGCCGCCATTGCGCCCTCAAAAACATAAAGAGAGCCGAGGATAACTAGCAGCAGACACGGAGAAGCTTGAAGAATACCTCGCGAAGAAACTCCAAAAACATGAACGTTTAATTCTCCTGTGACTGGGGGAGTGAAAAGATGCGCAGCAAGCGTTTTATTTGTGGACGGAAATGACAGGAAACGTGGGTTAAGAGGTGGCGAGCGCATGAAGATGTGGAGGAGAATGAGAGACAAATTTGTCCGTGTTAAAAAGTCTCTTATATACAAAAAAACATAATATAAACACTATCTTGGACCGGATACATGACAGGAAACCACAGAACAGCGCTACGCCCTCTGTTGTCCTGCCGGGTAATTGCTTTGCAACACTCTCCAGGAGACGGAGGAGTATGAGAGCAAAATGCTTCCGTCAGTCCGTGCGTGTCTGTCCCTTGCGGAGCTGACGGAGAAGCATGAACCAGGCTTTAGATTTGACATAACTTTTCCCTACCATATGGCACCCATGTCTGTTAAAGTAACAATCTCAGTTTGGTATACATTAAATTACACAGTGTGAACATACATATAGCACCTTTAAAAGTTGAATGTGGAACACACACACACTGGTGACATCTAAGTGACCCCTGGGGGTGCGCGCACCACACTTTGGGAATCCCTGATTTAGATGAATCATAATTAACCAGCGTTGGTTTTGGCGGATCAGAGCCGTAAATGATTGGCATCGGCCCTCAAAACTAGAGTTGTGGACCTGTCTTTACCAAACTTTGAAACTGGAATCGCTTCATCTCTTAAGTTAAGCTTGTTGAGGTGTGTTTATGAGTTACCCGGAATGTCTTTAATGTCAAAATGGAGTAATTCACTAAACTCACCAGCACCACTGGTCGTCAGCTAAACGCAGAGAAACGATTTGGATCGCCAATGAGGTGATTGGCGAAACAGTCACTAAATTTTGATATGTATGATATTTTGAATATGTTCAAATGGGAGTTGGCAGTTTTACTCGTGTGGATTTCTTTGATACTTTATGTGATTCTTTTGTCACAAACTGAGAAAATGAAGAAATCCCACAAAGAGAAACCATCATTTAAACCCCAGAATGTCCATAACCCAAAACCTCCAATCTGGCAGTCCTGATCAGCAGCAGAGACGCTTGGGGAGGAAAAGGGGGACAAGGGGGCCGGTGTATAAATAGCTTTGGTTCCCAGTTGCATAGCAACCAATGCCATCTTGCTGAGGTGTAACGCCCCTTCACCACGCCCCTTGTCCTGACTGTTCTGTTCCATTTTCCTCCCTCTGCAGTCTGCCTTGCCTTCAAACACAGACTTAAAATCTGTGTGTCATTTACAGACGTGTGCTGGCCGTCAGACGGCCTCTGTGTGTGGCGCGCGTTTCCCTACACACCAGGAGTTAAAAGGTGTGGTGGCTCCAAGTTGGACGATCCGAGAGTGTGTGCGTTTCCATCCATCTGCCCATCCATCCATCCATCATGGTGGTGCTTTGGTGAATCATCAGTGTCAGGCGGCAGAGTGGGAAATGTTTTACAAATGCTCCCTGTCAGAAGGGAGGAGACCATCCCCCAGAGGTTTCAATCCCCCCCAAAACCCCCCCCCCCCCCCCCCGATTTCCTCCAACCTCCATCTCGCCATCATCCGAGGTGCTAATGAGCCCAGGAGAGGTAGAGGCTGGAGCAGGGAGGGAGCAAAGTAGTGCAAATGAGGTGATCAAGTCAAGCTGCGTGTGAGTGTGTGTGTGTGTGAGTGTGTGTGTGTGTGTGTGTGTGTGTGTGAGAGTGTGTGTGTGTGTGTGTGTGAGTGTGTGTGTGTGTGTGTGTGTGAGTGTGTGTGTGTGTGTGTGTGTGTGTGTGTGTGTGAGAGTGTGTGTGTGTGTGTGTGTGTGAGTGTGTGTGTGTGTGTGTGTGTGTGTGTGTGTGTGTGTGTGTGAGTGTGTGTGAGTGTGTGAGTGTGTGTGAGTGTGTGTGTGTGTGTGTGTGTGTGTGTGTGTGTGTGTGTGTGTGTGTGTGTGTGTGTGTGAGAGTGTGTGTGTGTGTGTGTGAGTGTGTGTGTGTGTGTGTGTGTGTGTGTGTGTGTGTGTGTGTGTGTGTGTGTGTGTGTGAGTGTGTGTGTGTGAGTGTGTGTGTGTGTGTGTGTGTGTGTGTGTGTGTGTGTGTGAGTGTGTGTGTGTGTGTGTGTGTGAGTGTGTGTGTGTGTGTGTGTGTGTGTGTGAGTGTGTGTGTGTGTGTGTGAGTGTGTGTGTGTGAGTGTGTGTGTGAGTGTGTGTGTGTGTGTGTGTGTGTGTGTGTGTGTGTGTGTGTGTGAGTGTGTGTGAGTGTGTGTGTGTGTGTGTGTGTGTGTGTGTGTGTGTGTGTGTGTGTGTGTGTGTGTGTGTGTGTGTGTGTGTGTGTGTGTGAGTGTGTGTGTGTGTGTGTGTGTGTGTGTGTGTGTGTGTGTGTGTGTGAGTGTGTGTGAGTGTGTGTGTGTGTGTGTGTGTGTGTGTGTGTGTGTGAGTGTGTGTGTGTGTGTGTGTGTGTGTGTGTGTGTGTGTGTGTGTGTTTGGATTTGGACTATCCGTCTCATGACTGAGGGAATGCTGGATTTGGCGATCCGATGCTACAGCGACGTTTGTGCCAGGTAGCAGAGGCACCACCTGAGAAAACAGCTCGTGCTCCACCACGGTGTGTCCGGTCTGTTCCCATCTCCTCCGGCATTGAAACGCCTCTGCGCAGACGCGGCTGCACCGCACTCGCAGGAAGAAAGAAGCCTTTCAGGCAACCAGAGCTCTGCCACGCCAAACACAGCAGTCACTTCTGGAAACCACTTGGCAAACGCCCACATCCCTGTTCGGAGCTGGTAGCTGATGTGTGTGAAGAGGCCTGATTATACCAGAGGTATCTGAGGCTTTCAGCAGCATCACCTTCACTCCCGAAACACGTAGAACTGATCCATAAAGGTTTCAGGTGTTCAGTCATGCCTCGTTTTGCTTCTGTGAAGCAATAATACGTTTTTCTGAGTGGCACCCATTAGAGAGGACTCTTTCTGATTGTGTGTGATTTACCTGGGGTAGATGCCGCTGACCATGTCCTGCGGTAGCAGATCGTAGGCGGCGTGGCTCGCTCCTGCAGCTTTGGACAGCAGCAGGACGATCAGTCCTCTCATCTGAAGGTTGTTCTTACTGTCGTAGACGAAGCCTCTGCACACAAGCGCCATCGTTTAAGAAAACACACAATTAAACACAAGATTAGTTATCTGAACCCGACTTAGACCTTAACTCATTTAGTCTGTCACTGTGGGGTGTTGGTAGGCCTTTCACAGTTTGGTACCTTTAATTATTTTTGAAATAAAATCACCCCAAACAAAGTTTGAGGAATGCTTCTTGGATCTCACGCGGTACTCCCAGCGCTCGAGTAATTGGTTAGCCCTCAGAGTTGAGAATGACTCTCGGCTGCCAGCACGTGAAACCTTAGCTCAATATCTCCAGTATCGACTGAGTTATACCGCCTCCTTGTGTTTGATCATCTGGATAAGCTCTGCTGGCCGTCTGAAGCTGAGTCGACTCCAGAAGTGAAGTCAGTCGTAGATGCTCTATAACACAGGTATTAATATCCGGGCCTGGAGGTCCGGTATCCAGCACCTTTTAGTTTTAACTCTGTTTCAACACCTGATTTCAATCAGCAGGTGATTAACAGGCTTCTGCAGAGCCTGATGAGCTGCTGCACAAGTGACTCAAGTGAAACCACTAAAACGTGCTGGATAACGGACCTCCAGGCCAGAATCGAATACCCAGCTCTACAAGAATAGCTTAATTAGGTATTCAAACGTGTTTTATTGTATTGAAACACGACTTTTAGCTGGATCTTCTTCGCTAGTGAAGAGATGGTACAATGCAGTATTTTGTTTTGGTCGGTGAAAATATCCAAAATGTGGAATCTGGATCTGCTCATGTCGGAACCAGAAGTGCAGTTCCTTTGATTCGGTTTATTTTCACTACGAACAAAAAAACTGGGCCAGAGTGCGCCGACCAGTCCGATTTTCTGAGGGCGGAGCTAACTAGAAGGCTGTGTGTTCTGATCCTGAGCTATAGCCAACCACGTGCTCTAACCCAGGAGATTCCAGTGTTCAGGGAAACCGAGCTTTGGGTTTAAACGGACAGAAAACACCATTAAAACTTCCAGTGAGTGATCTCCTGATGGTTAAATCCACTTCCTACACACCGAGGTGGCAAACAGTGAGCTTCTGAGTCATTAGTGGAAAATCCTGGAGCGTTCGGATGCCTCCATTCAGGAGTAAAATCACTTGAACTTACTGAATACATCATATTTGGTCAAATGAAATAATTGATCTGTTTTGCAGCTAAATAGATTTTTTCTGAGGACGTGGGGATGGAGGGCATTCCCCCACCCCACCCCCACCCCTCACCAGCAGCCTCCTGACAGGAGCACACACGGAGCTCAGCGGTAGCTGCCTGGATGGTGGGCAGATTAAATATCTTTTTACTCTCCCAGGGGAGCAGTTAGACACAGCACCTCTAATCCCGTCCCTCTGGGAGCCCCTCGTGCCATGAATCACACTCTCGTTAGGAGCTCCAGAGGAGACAAGTGGTCACGCCCCCCCCTCCGCTCGATGCCCAGACACGGGCCTCTTCACCCCACCACCAACCCACCCCTGCACCGCAAAGGGGGAGGAGGAACCCGACACACACTGGATGCAAGGAGGAGGAAGAGGAAATGGAAATTCACAAAGAGACGACCAAAGAAACCTGGAAACAGATTGTGAAGCTGCAGCTTCTGAGTATTCATCAATGTTTCCCAAACGTGCTCCGAGTCCGCCCCAGTCGTGGTTAACTGGTGTTAGTACTCCAGACTCAAATGTTCACACGTCTCCATCCAGCTTTTATCAGAATAGAAAAGATCGCTTCTTTGCAAACAGGCTTTTATTTTGTCATTCTCTTCAAATCAGACACACTTCCTCCTCTTTCCCAAAGCTAAACTGGTCAGGACACAAAGATGACAGAACAAGGGCAAAATACACAGGCAGCATCTAAAGACTGAGTTCACTCATTTTTTCCCAACACATCTGCAGTGGTCTCTAGTATGAATTAATGCTTTCTGAGTTGATCTCTGTGGAGGGAAACGCTCTCACGCCCCTGTTTCAGGAACAAGAAGTGAGCTAGAGGAGTGGGGAGCAGAACCCTAACAGCAACGCGACTCTACCACATATAACTACTACTACTACTAAACTTTATTTATATAGCGCCTTCACATGGCCCATGGACCAAACGAAGCGCTGCACAACAGAAATGAACATAAAGAAATAAAAAGATATAAAATCATTTAAAAACCTACAAAAACATGTAGATAAAATCTAGGTGGGGGAGCAAAAAGTGCAAAGCCACCCACTAACAAGACTAACACAAGCCTGGGGGAGTTCTGCTCTCTGGTGGAGGTTTAAATGCTAACAGTTAGCTTCTAATACATGCTCTACAATTTCCTGGACGCTAAATCAACAACAGCCTTTCTGTTTAGACATCCGTGCCCTTGTAGCAGCTCTTCTCTGCTTTTATAGCAGCTCTGACTGTCCATGCTTTTTTATGTGACTGGTAAAATCAAATTTTTTTCCTTTTTGGGTTTAAAATAGTCCTCAAATTCTTTTTACTCCAGTATTTTTAAGTTTTCCTCTGCTGTTTCATTAAAGCAAAGAACTTGAGCCACACTGGACCACTGAACAGAGGCAAGCTGCCCAATTGGGGGGCACTCGGGTTCTACTGGTTAAAAAAGATACACGGAAAACCCCAAAACACACGAAATATACGTAAAATCTGTTTTTTTTAAATAATTTTTAAAGCTCATAAAATAAATACTTAAAGTCAACTGCAAAATTTTCGTCACAGGAAAATAGTAGCAGGAACACCCCCCCCCCCCCCCCCCCCAAATAAAAACTGTGAATCTTCTCTCAACTTGTGATGCCCAGGTGAGCCAGTGGCCCAAAGGAGCCTTGTGATTAATATTTATGTCACTACACACACCAGCACACATCAGTCAGTCACAGCCGCCCTCCTGCAAAGGGGTGGGGTGTGAAGAAGATGTGGAGGAAGAGAGATGGTGAGGGTCACGGCAGAAAGAGAGAAATGTGCTGCTGTCATTTTAAAGGGTTGTGAGCGGGTCACCACGCCTTCTGCTCTGCAATCAGGAGCCAAAGCTGCTGCGTGTCAGAGCTGCAGTTAATACATGCAAGCCTCCAACCTCACATTTATCGATCCTCCGACATCTTTTCCTGAGTTATAAATGAACAAATGAACAATGTGTCTGCTCGTTGCAATGCATCTGCCTCTACTGTGCTCAGCAGACACCATCAGGGTTAAAAATGATACGTTCAATTATTGACCAACAGTTTTTCTTCCAGTTTCCAGTATCTGATACTCAGATTTCCAAAAAATAAAAAATAAATAAGCTTTTTACTGCAAAAATATGGCTTCCTCCTTTGTTTGTTGGAGTAAAAATAATTTAGATCCTAAAGTTAAAACTGTTTTGGTCATTTTCCTAAAATGTGGGAAGTAGTTATTATTTGGTTGGAATGAAACCAACCAGGCGTGTTTAAAGATATGCTGTTGTGTCTGGAGTTTGGCTGATTCTCCGTAACTCACGTCCTTCACTGGAAGTCAGAAGGGATTTTATTTTGGGTTTAAAAAAGAAATGAGATCACTGCCTGGAGGTGAAATATATAAACATTCCCAACAACCTACTCCACTGAAACTATCCAACCTCTTTAGGAAAACTAGACCAGGTTTAAAACGGCTCATGAAATTCATCTGGACAGAATCTCTTCTCAGTCCCCAAAAGATAAACATAATTTGATCAGGTTAAGGCTGATTCGGCAGGAAATCAGATGTTCAGAAAGTCCACTTGGGTAAAATAATACATTCATCTATTGGCTAAATGGCAGACATCAAAGTACTCAATGATTATTAAAAGTTTAACGGATTTTTTTATTCTGTAGGTCGAGGAACTGCATCATGTTAGACTTTTATTGATTCTATTGAAAGTGATGGAATGTTTAGAATTTTTTTGTCTCATTTTGTTGCCTTACTGCCGTTGTGTCCTTGGGCAAGACACTTAACCCACCTTGGCTGCTGCTGGTGGTCAGAGGAACCAGGTCAGCCTCACCCAGCGAGCCCCAGGGCAGCTGTGGCTACAATGTAGCTCATCACCACCAGCGTGTGAATGTGTGTGTGCATGGGTGAATGATTGCTTGGGCTGTAAAGTGCCTTGGGGGGATTCTAGGACTATATCAAATACAGTCCATTTACTCATGCTCTATCACCTATTTTATTATGTGACGTGTACATGGGAGTATGGATGGAAACTAGCATTTAGCTAACTCTGGTGTAAATTCATAGCCTAGTGAACTAGACCAAATTCTTGCTTTGCAAAGTTTGGTCTAGGAACGCTCCATTGGAACCTTTGCAGCCCCTAGCAGCATTCTGGCTGGCCAATCACAGCTCTCTATAGGGGCTTCAATCCTATAAAGCGCTGTGATTGGTCCACAGTCACAGCGCTTTATTGGCTTTGTAGGCCAATCGGGGCCCTCTATTCCTCTGGTGGGTAGGATAATGCAACAGAGTGGAACAAGATGGCGACAGCAAGTTATAAATGGCTTTTACGTCAATTTTGGACAATTTGGACTTGGGTTTTATTAGATTCAGGAGCAGAAAGATGTATTCAAGTAATAAAAAAAAAAGGATGTATTTTCACCCTCTTCCAATTGTGGACTGTCTCGTTTACTGACATCCGTTGCAGGGAGTACGTCACGTTGTTCATTGTCCAGTAGCATGCAACGATAATTTGAAAGACAACGGTAGAACCCGCCCAATGACCGAGAGCAGTCAATGGAGTGTTGCCAGACTAGATAATACATTTATTTAGTCTGGCTCGCCAGGCTAGTAAATTCATTATATACTTGTGATTTATTTGGTTCACTAAAGTCTCCTGATTGTCCTAATTCACTTTGATCTTACATGGAACACGCAGCTTTTATTTTTTATTTAAAACAACAAAATTAATGTAATCCCCAAATTATTATTAAAAAAGCATAAAACATCAAAAAATGCTAACGCTTTAGCTTAATATCAAAATGGATTTTGGATCAAAATGGATTAACTGGATGCACATTCTTATTTTTGTCCCTTTATGTCTG